AAAAAAAAAAAAAGTTTTCCCAAAAGCCATAGTGTCAAAGATATATACATAAGTTACAAATATTGTTTTTTTAGAAAAAGAAAAAAGGGCCTGATAACTATTGCATTAAAATAAAACATTTTTAAAATGCCTATTAACTCATACTCATCCTTGAATTAATATAGAGTGAGGAACCCCAGAAATTACTTTTTTTCAGATTAGTGGACCGAAAACTTGAAAAACCGAGCATAGTTTGACACTGAGGAAGGGACCTTGCCTAGTCTTTTGATTCACAAAAGGAGCCAGGCTTCTAGCTGTCTTTCAGAAAGACCCACCAATTAAAGAAAGCCAAAGAGCAATTCATTTATATAGTGGCAGCCCAGAAAGAGATGGCAGAATTTTTTTGCAACATAAACAGTTGAAAGAGGCGTCAATAAAAGATGATTAATTGAATTTAATTAAAACTATAATATTGCATCAGTGCCTTACACCTTTCTTGTCTTGGTCCACAGGCTCTTACAAACATGGGTGAAATTCTAAAAGCTGCAGGCTGTGACTTCACTAATGGTGAGTTGCTTGACGTTACTTCACATTTTCATTAGCTGTTTCCTTAGTCTTTCTGAAGAACACATGGAATCCAATAATATGCCGATCATTATTGCTTTTTAAAGCTGTTGTTTTCATGATCTGGAAAATGACACTTTTAGCTCTACTTCCCCTCTTATTTCAGTCCCATATTAATCAAGACAGTTACAGAGCTATATACTGTTTTTCCAAGTAATGTTTTGCATCAGATCAAATAGCTGAAGCTAGTGATGTGTGTATCTTCCAGTGGTAAAAACAACTGTGTTGCTGGCTGACATAAATGACTTCACTGCTGTCAATGAAGTCTACAAACAGTGTAAGTAATTTGGCTCTATTCCTATTTTTTATTTTAAAAAGAAAAGAATCTGTTAATATCAATGAGTGCCTATTATGACTTAAGAGTGATAGGAGATGATAAAGAAATTGCCACACAAACACTGATGTACAGTGGATAGATGGGTGGACAGGCTGAATGATTAGGTATATCTATGCATGGGGGAGTGTGCCCATGACCATATATTGGGTTGGCAGACAGTGTTTCTACAAGTGTATTTATATGTTCTGTAAGAATTTCCAGGTATACAGTAGAGCTGACAAGGGACAAGGTTGTAGTCACTTCTTGGCCACAGCCAGCTACCTGGAAGGAGGAAGCAGTTGGACCTGTGGGCTCGGGACCATGGTCCCAGGGGACATCAAGCTCACTTGGCATAACATACTACACAAAAACATTGTTCCACATCCTGCTTTGGTGAGTAGCGACTGGGATCTTAAAAGCTTGCGAGCGCCATCTGGATGCAATGATGGGTCTCTCTTCATCCAGAGCAAAGAAGAATGAAGAAAACCAAAGACACATGGAAACAATTAGTCCAAGGGACTGGAATACCATGTG